TAAATGCCATCATTGTTATTTCATCGCCTGAGCCGAACTCCGAGGGCAGTTGTGTACACGCTCGGCCTCGCGACCTCAGTGCAATACCTTATCACAGAATAAAATGTCCAGACGAAAATTTCTCGCCCCAAAAGCGCAGCTTTTAAAGGACCGGCCTCCTGAAACATTGAGCAGAAGCGATATTTCCATCCTCGTATGCTCGCGCGCTTCTTCTCATATCCAATATGTGTATCCCGCCGACTCGTAAACTCATTGCGAATGAAAAATTAAAGGGGCGCGCATCTTGCGACAGGCCGGAAGATGGCGCGACTCCCTGTAAAGCAGCGGCGACGGCGGCAGCGGCGGCGGTGGCAGCGGCAGCGGCACCGGCAGCGGCACCGGCAGCTTCTGCTCAGCACCGTAAATCATTCAAAACGGCTCTGCTCTATGATCTACGGCGGCGCCCTTTTCCATTCCACCTCCGCTAGTTCGTTCTCACGCTCTTCTTGTATCTCTTCTTAGTAGCAAACAGTAATACACCCGGTCTCACGAGAGTTTACTTCACTTTTTTTCATACTCTCTCTTTTTCTTCTATTTATTCTTTTGCACTTGTGACAGTTGTCGCCTTTATTCCCGATCCACTCTTTTTGATGCTTTTTGGCAGGACTGCTACAAGACTTTTTGCTTCTTGCTCATTCTCCTCTCTGTTTCTCCCGTAGTCTCGCGCATTTGCTAATGTCTTGAAAAAAAGTGCCCTTAAGAGGAACCACATTGGCCTCGACATATTAACGAATATAAGAGGCCCAGATGCATTTAAACTTCCGTATTGCGAAAAAGCTTTGCTCCTTATTTCTCTTTTACCAATAACTTGGATTTTGTTCTTTTTCTTAACGAAATATTTATTGTTCTTTTTTATTTTATTTTACTTTTTTTTTCTAAATGACCAGAGCATTTATCACTATCGATATATCATCGACGCGTACATAATAAATATTACTCGTAGCGCACTTACACTTTAAATCAATATGTAGCAAGTATACAATTTTACCAATAAAAACAATTATTATCGGCATTTATTGGCTTGAATCGAACGCCCATTATTACAGTTGGACAAAAATTTATTATATTTTGCGCGAAATCTTTGAATACTTTCTTAATAAAAACAATCTTCTGGGCGTGCTGATAAATGAGAAAAATATACTAATCGGAAGGATTAGTTAAATTTTTCGCGACAATAAATTACATTTTGCTATTACGCTCCTTGTAATATATACATATACATACACATAGATGTATAAGAAAGGCTGTTGCATATTTCCACTTACTTGAATTAGAATTTTATTCCACCGGTATATAGGACACAAAAATTCTCTTAGGATCCAAGTCATTTCCCGACATCCTCCCTATTTGGAGATGATGAGATCTTGAATTCTAGTTTGCCAGAAAGAAAGCACGTACAAAAATAACGATATCTTACAGCATGTAAAACATTGAAATTAAAGGTAAATCGCGCGCCCGTGGAGAGTCCTCCGAAAACATAAATATAAAAAAATTGTCCATACGAGGCACAATGAAATTTTCGTGAGGAATTTAAATTATTCAATATATAATGTATGAAAATAATAATAAACGTGACGTGCATTTCCAATTGTGAGTCAAAAAGAAAAAAGAAAAGCCAAATATGAATTTGGTAAGTAATTTTTTGGCTCATATTTGCAATGCTCAAATTATAATTTGCTCGAGCTTCATTTTATGAAAAATAATCTAAATTTTAGTCGAGAAATCAAAATATTTATAATACAATATACTAGTGAATATTTCAAATATTTCCTCCTCATTTACCACCATCTTTAGCATTAACATGCATTCGTTATGCAAAAACGTCGTTACATTCGTTATTAAAAATGCCGTTTACAAAATTCAGAGGAGTAATTAGCATTTATAGTTATTGGCGGTGATTATACTTGATTCTGTATTACTTCGTAAAAAGCGAACGAACACTCGCCGTGGGTGTTGCTGGCGAGAGCTTAATTACGAAATTACGGGAACAATTGTTCACCATCGGTGCGCGCAGCTCGCTCGTCGTGCAGCGACATCTGTGAACGAAATGGCCAACTACATGAATCCCAATAATACGACCTCGGCGACGTGTCTTTTAAATTAATATTATACTTGGACGGAATATGATGATTGTCGTTGTCGTCCAGTGGAGGCGAGACTGGCCGTGTAAAAAAAATTTGGCCAGCAAACCATTCCAACGACGAAATTGGCATCTCAAAATCTTTTAAGTACAATCGTGATCGATTGAGTAATTGAAGCTGGTTGACGAAAAAGTAGCCGAGGAAAAACAGACGGGATCAAGAAGAAAAGAACCAGCGGAAGGATTATCAAGTTCCATGAGTGTGACGATATCGGATAGACGAAAACGAGGGCCAAAGTAACTATCCAAAGACGAGTATATACAGGAGAACGTGCGATAGGTGATAAAATGGAAGCGGCGGTGGCGGTGACGGTGGCGGCGACGGCACCGGCACCGTCGAAAGCTCTCGAGCCGGATAATGAACAAAAACAAGCAATTACGTGAAGTAGTTTGGCGAACAATGCTTCGTAGCGCAACAATGACGGCTACTTTGGGTCAGCTTTTTCGACGACAATTTCACTCTCGGTCTGTACACCTCGGAGAAGAGCCACAGCGTCACAACGGCACCGAGGCTTCCGGTTTCGCTCTTTCACACCAGTTTCAGATTATACTCGCTCGTTCTCATCCCGCGCGCTTTCTTATCTCCGAGACGAATAGCTTATACCGCGCTCTTGATCCACTTTACGATAATGACACGTAATATAACGTCGACTTATCCTCTAACGAACGTATTCTCGTCATTGGTGAAACGACAGGTACATGTAGAGGTGACGACGATACGAGCGCCGATGCATCGATTTATTTGGCTTTTCGAAGGTGAGATGAAGTCGACTGAGCTAAGCAGCCGTTGCAAAATATATCGCCAAATCCTGCTATAATTTGCCTTTCTCAATTACGCTCAACTTACCAAACTTTTCCGAAATTTCATTCCATAGGAAGTGGAGAACTCTAATTTCAAGCTTCGGGGATAATCGTCTTACATTACTTCAAAGCTCCCAAAACCAAATTGAATATAACATATTTTACTATTCTCCCTACATACTCTAATCATAACTTCATATAAATTTGTATGATTTTGTAAATAATTAAACAATGCCTGCTGCATTTTAATAAAAAATATTTATTGATCCACTTGATCGACTTCGGATCCATGTGATTTTTGTCATTTTCGGGGAATATCGAAACTAGAGGGTGAAAAACTTTATTATTCACTATTACCTAGATAATGAGCGTAATAATATTCATTTATAAAGATTTCCGAATACGAGCATTTACAGTAACATTATAAACAATGGAATATTATAAAATTACAAAAAAAATGAATTTTATTAACGATCATTTATTAATAAAATATTCAGTCGTATATTTACCTAAAATTTCTGGTTAATGAAATTCAAAATCAATAAATTCTTTATTTGAGTATGTTTAGAAATATTTCATTACTTTGTTTTCGATAAAAAGATTACATTATTGAAATCTGTCAATAATTATGTAATGTATGCCGCAACGGCATTTATATATAAGAATAAGTATGAGAGATAGAGATAGGGAGAGAGATGTAGCACACTACATCGCTACACTCGCGTATTCGCATAATACGTGCATTCATATAGGCTCGTATTGCGCTCGTGTACCCACACACAAGCACCTTGTGGACACAAAGCGTTCTCGTATGTAACACTACATAACATGTATTATTTATTTAAGAGCTCTTCGCTATAGACATGTTGTGTTTTAAAATGTTTAAAATGTTTAAAAAATGTTGAAAGTCTGGGAAATTATATGATACGCTCGTGCACGTCCGCGTACATTAATGAAAGTCTTGCGAGAAATAGCTAAACTGAAATTTACCTGCGTGAAAAATTATACTAATCCCTGAGAGTCGTAAAAAGTACGAATGCTTATCGAAATGTGAAAAGTCTAGACGATTAGGAATCTTAATCGTAGCCGTACATCATTATAATATATTATCATAGTAAAATAACAATTTTCAAAAGAAACGCACTTTTCATCTGAAAATTCATTCGATTTGCATTTTATTCGTATTTAACTCTTTACTGTACATTTAAATTGTAAATTCTTAATTTATTGTGAGGCCATTAGTTATATATATATATATATATATATATATATATATATGTAACATTTCTGCGGCCGTTTTCGCAGAATCGCTCTTTCTCGTCGTAATATCATATCCCTTGGTTCTTCCACATAATTGTCATCATAATAATTTCGCTGAATTTTTCAAATTTCACCAAAATAATAAACAGATTGGGATTATAAATTAAAACTACAAACTTCCCTCACCAAAAACTCATGCGACTTCCGACAAACTGATCTATCACGTATCTCCGCGAACAATTTTTATAAAAGCATTTCCACAAACTATCGCAAATATACCATAAAACCGTGAAAATTTCCTTCACCCTCGCAAACTTTCAAGCATACTTTCACATTTCCTTAAACCATTAAACCATTAAAATCAATGAACGATCTAACGACAAATGACAGCTCCCACTCTCCCCTTTTGCACGCAGCTCCGACTTATACCAGTGATAATGATCACACTACCGGCATCAATGCTATCGTCACGTCTTCAAACACACGCGCACACACGCACCAAACAATTACGCTAAAATGCTGTGAACGAATTTTTCGAAAAATTACGCTTTCACGACACTTTGCCGTGCGACACTAAGCCACCTAAAGCAACTCGCAAAACGGGGGAGCGGGGAGGGGGACGGAAAAAAAGAAAGGAAAGGGCCAGGACGTAAGCCCGGCCCTCCGATGATGGAAATCGGTCGCCCGACATCCGTAATAAGTCGCGGGCTCGATAAGTCGACTCGGCGGGGACTCTTGCTCGCTCGGACAATGAACGAGGCGAGAAGGAGGCGGCGGTCGATCGCCGACCAGGTAAGCGGCTCGAGCGCTTCCACGTGCTCGCATAAGAGGGCCCCATAGTCTGCGCAAGCGAACACACCCAGAAATCAGAGTCACATTGCGTCTCGCTCGGCCCCAGTGTCCGCAAGTCCATCGGCGCCGCCACCGCCGTAGCCACCACCGTCCGCCGTGGCCTCGGAGCCGTGGACCAGACTCGCGACGATGCCGCCCCACCGTAACGCCAGCATCCTTGTCTTCGTGATCCTGGCCTCGCACGTAATAGGTTAGAGCACCGAACTGGGCTTTCGAGGCGTTGCAGCGGCCAGGCGGGCGCGGTCGCCTGGCCCGAGCTGCCACTCCTGAATCTCTGAGCGCCGCCATATTGGATTCGCGTCCTCTCCGTTAGAGACACGGGACGCGCAGTGCGCACTCGATACGCGAATCTCCCCGAGTTGAACGCCGCGGTTATCATGTTCATCTCGTTTACCTGAGGGAGAGCCGCTTGCCCGGCCAACCTTCCAAACTCAAACCTTTTGTCGTTCTAGGCAGCCTCGGTATAAAGTGCTACCAGTGCAGTAGCGATACCGATCCGGAGGGTGAAGATAACTGCGGGGCCTACGAGAAGTTTAACAAGGAGCGCAACATCCCCGTCGAGTGCAACAGCGATGAGTCCAAGATGCCCGGCACCTTTTGCGTCAAAATCACCCAGCAAAGTCCGCGTGGTTTCATTTGTGAGTATGACGTGCTACCCAAATAAAACGAACCAAGCATCGGTGATCTTAGTGTGCGACCTCTGACACGCGTACCTCAAAGCGTATTATTTGTACCCATTGTGCCTATGCTCGTCGGATATGTCATAATAGAGCGTAGGCGTTACGTATACATTGGCATTTGAGAGAATTTTTAGTGTAATGTTTACAAAATAAACGAATACAACGATGGAATTTCATTGTATCGAATTCATAGTATAGGAATGGCATCGCTATTAATATCGGCGAAAGTAGTTAATAACGACTACCGTGCATAATTAATCCAATGTAAAATTATCTAATTATTCACTAAATTTTACTTTTGAATATATAAACTACGAATTGTGTCTGAAGTGTTATAATTTCATCAAAAAATTTGCATTCTCAACAGTATATCGTCGTATGCATTATGTTGTATATATTCGCGTTTTAATTCCTATTCTTTCACTTGACAAATTGGCCCAATCTTCGAGGGTACCCTTAAGACTCGTAACTTACATATGCATTTTGCGCATAAATTTGCAAAACGTGAATTCCCATTATAAGTTTACTGCAAAGCACGAAAAAGGCTTTTTCATACTTTTTGTTATTCTCTATATCCAAACAAAAAAAAATCTATATCCGTAGTAGGGTGAGGCTATAGTTAATAAATACTTCTTATACAAAATTTATTAAAAATTTTTATTATGAAACATACAATTATTTTGAAATTCAGCGTTTAATGTTTTGACTGGCAACGATTAGGCAAAATACTCACGTAATCAAGAAATATATTAAGTTATTCCATTGCTTTTAAATAAATTTTCAATACAAGGACGAAAATTATTTCCTAGCTCTAACCGTAAACCTTATGGCAGAATAAAATTGAAAGTACATCATCTTTACTTTTAATGGTCGATTGATTATATTATTAAATTGCCGTGTAAAATTCTAATTCCCGTATTAATTTCATCAATGCATTATTTATAAACGTACCGTAGATAACGGAGTGCGATTCACGAATGATCGTTTTGTAAAAATTTTCTCAAAATTTTGTTAGGCCCAAAATCGAGCGAAGCACCAGTCTATTGTAATAACGTCGAAACTTGTGCAATAAGGGTGCTGTGTAAAAAAAAAAGAAAAAGAAAGAAAGAAAAAAGATAAAAGAAAGTAGTAAAAGAGGGAGAAGATGATAGAATAGGATAGCAACGCTTTATCAGGAACAGACGACAAAAAGGAAAATACGAATTAGCGATCGTGTAATGATAGCCATATAAAGCGAAGGGCTGATTATAATTGTCTGATGTTGCAGGGGACGGGAGATGGCGTCAGGTGATACGTCGGTGCGCGTCCGTAGCAAACACAGGTGTCACGGGGGTCTGCAACTGGGGCGTTTACGAGAACGGCGTCTATTGGCAGGAGTGTTCCTGCTCCGAGGATTCCTGCAACGCCGCCACGAGCCTGAACATCGGACTCGTGACGATGCTCTTCGCACTCGTTGTCCCCTTGTCTCTCAGCCTTCGATAATTCGATTTGGTCGCTCCTAGGCGAATAACAAGAGCACGAACAAGCCAGAAGAGGAAATCGCTCCCGGCGAGCCAACCGTAGTGAATTCTATTTCTTTTACTGCCGCCCCCTCTTCCCTTCACTAACTGACCACCTACCACATTTCCCCTCGCCGCACCACCACCACAACCCCCATACCATCGCGCTCATACACGCTCTCTCTCTCTCTCTCTCTCTCTCTCTCTCTCTCTCTCTCTCTCTATCTATGTGTATATATATATATATATATATCTCTTCTTGACGCGGTAAATCCCATTTTGTAAATCAAAAATGTATACCACTATCAGAATCCATTGATTTTTCTGTTCAACGGCTACTGATTTTCTTGCTTTGCGTTTTACTTCCAAGTTCGAGGGAACGACATATTAAATTATGATGAAGGGAAGAACTGTTGACATTCCTGATGGAAAAATTTTCTTGACTATTTCTTCGAGAAAAAATCTTTCGAATAACCAGAATGCGTTTAGAATATGTTATCAAGGCTTGGATCAATTTTTCCTTTATATTTTTATAAAAATTTTTATACTTAACATTCGCTAGAAAGAAAGTGTTCGACTATTTCAGAAATCCTATAAATTTATCACTTTATTTCTTAAATCTTCGAAATGCAATATTAAAGATTATATTAAATTTAATTTTAAATTAATTTACTAATCATTTGCCTTTTATTCGTCGTTTAGCGTGTGTGTGCGTGCGTGCGCGCGCGTGCTTATGTGCATCAAGAAGTAGGTAAATGTATAATTTTAAATGATTTATTTTGGGCTTTTCAAAAAAGTATTTAAAGAAAAACAAACTTATAACAATGTTATTAAATACGAAAGAAAATCTTAGTTGTAGCAATATTATTATCATTATTATCATTATTATTATTTATTATTATAATTATCATTATTGTTATTATTATTATTATCATTATTATTATTATTATTATTATTGGTTTTGTCAGGTTACTTCTTAAAGTAAAATTCTACTTTACCTACATATCAATTACTAACTAGGCACTCAGTGAAACACTTTCTAAAAAATCTAATATTGAAGTGATCTAGTTGAAAATGCATTATCCCCTTTTACGTATTTTCTATCTTTTGTAAAGCTTCCGTGTAAATGTTTAAAGTCATTATCTCGGCTTACCATAATTTTATGTGCTGTTACGGACTTCGTTTTGGCACATTACTTCGTCATCTATATTAATGAATTCTTTCAACACATTTCAAGTATACATATTCTTACTTGCTTCCTTATAATAATAATAATAATAATAATAATAATAATAATAATGATAATAATAATAATAACAATAATGATAATTATAATAATAAATAATAATAATGATAATAATGATAATAATATTGCTACAACTAAGATTTTCTTTCGTATTTAATAACATTGTTATAAGTTTGTTTTTCTTTAAATACTTTTTTGAAAAGCCCAGGCATCTATTATCATTATTATCATTTATTTGCAAACTCATTATTTCTCCCGCGCATCATGTAATCGCTCACCCCCTCTTTCTCTTTCTCACATTCCAGCAAATATATAAGCAGAGTGCAATCTCTGTTTTATTACACATATTTTTAATAAATTTTCCATGTTTCTTTTGAAATGGGCATTTCTTAAATACATTATACAGAATATTTGTAAGCCACTGTAGAGTTCAATTATATTTATGATATACAATAATTATTCGCGAAAAGAATGCTCGATCTTTTTACCTATTCATAATAACAATTAAAAAAAAAAAAAAAAAAAAAAAAAAAAAAAAAAAAAAAAAACAAAAACAAAAAAAACAAAAATCTACATTTTCTAATAGGATTAGAGTTCTTTATGTGCTTATTATCGCTTGACATAATTTTACACAAAAAATAATTAATCACTTTATATTTTGCGACACGTAATCTTTCTTCTTAATAATTAAAGCATAATATTCTTTAAAAAAAAAAAAAAGGAAATTACGTAATTATTAAATCATACAAAATTAGCGCTAATAACTACCAATTACCAATTGTTACTCGTCGATGTTAATAATTTTTCTTAACTGTTGAATAATTTTTAACAACATTATTCTAAAATAAGTTATCGTAACTATTATTTATTAATTCAAACAATAAACAACAATATTTTGAAATTTTTATTCTACCAAGGTTTGAAATAAACATAAACAAAAGATTAAATTTTCATAACAAAAAGTATATTTCAATGAGCCACGCACAATCTACATTTTCATACTCATCAATTATTAAAATAATTATTATATAAATGGATAAGTAATTATATAACTCGAAGAAAATTTTTTTAAATAGCATTGAAAAAGTTTGTAATACTTATCTTGAATCTTTATTATTTAATGGCAGTACCTATTTTTATTCCTAATCGATAAAGAAAACTTTTCATTCTGAAAAACTTTTTACGCGATTACACATTTTAAGAATGTGCATATAACGTTTCTTAGGAAATTTTTAAAAATTTAAAAATGCATTTAAAAAATATATTGTGTAACAAAAACTTTCGTCCTTTTATGCTTTATATTCTTGTTTTGCTTTGCTTTACAATGTTACTTTTGCATATGTTTACTATGCCCAGTTTATTGATACAGCTCAAATATTATAATATCGTAAGAAAATATTTTTTTCGAAAAGCAAATAAAAACTTTGAGGGAGTGGTAAAAAATGCTGATATTTAATGAATTTTAAACTAAACATTTAAATAGATGATAGAGTAAGCATATATATATATATATATATATATATATATATATATATATATATATATATATGTATATGTATATGTATATGTATATACATATATACCGATCCTTTTATATAAATAATATTTTAATGCATCTGAAAGAGTCGTGAGTAATTACAAACTGAAATAAAAATAAAATAAAAAGTCGATTCTAAGCTTTTTATACTATGTGAAGCATCGTTGCTACTTATAACTTATAACAGACTGATGACGAATCAGCTAATTATCCGTCCATTAGAGTTAAGTATGTGATGTAGTAAAATAACAAGGAGTATAAGTCATAACGTAATTTCGATTAGAGAATATGAATGTTTACGATAAAGTATTCTTGTTTTATTGAAAGATCCTTTACAGCAAATGTAAATAAACTATATTTGCACTATTCTATTCACATTGTTTATTGTTCAACGATCATTTATAAATAATATAAATTCAAAGCTATTTATAATATTGTTATATAAATAAATTGAAAAATAAAATAAAAAGAGAAAAAAGAAGAGCTCTTAAGATAAAATGTAAATGATATGTGAATGAGATGTATTTACTGTTTAAAATACCTTTCCCTTTCAATTCTTAAAGATGAATTCATTAAACACGTTATTCTACGCTTTTACGAGCGACAACAATCGTACGAAAAAGCATGAGAGCACAAGAGATACCAGACACATGAGATGAGCATCGCTAGCGGCTCTTTGCGTCCTTGAGGCACATAAGCTTGGAGCCTTTATCTCATCCAAGGGTCGTGTATAACTTTGGCCAAACTGCGCCGTCCCTCTTGAATTATCTCCCCTTATCATCTCGAGGCTATTATCGATTAAAAGTAGAATAAAATTTTTTTGTTCAAATAAAAGAGAGTGAGAGAGAGAGAGAGAGAGAAAACAAGATTTAGTTACTCTTGCGTATCGACTCGACCTTATGATTTTTCTACATTGTGTATAAATTTCTTAATATTCGATTATTTTACATTGTTATGTAGACAATAATAACGGCAGCGAGCGTATTTAATGAAATATTAAAGGCTCTATTGTGCAGATTTTTAAACTTTATTCAAACAAATAATTTAAGAGGAGCTTTCATAAATAATAAATTGTTGTACGTCGGCCAATATGGTTGTGCCTCGGTTGGAAAAATTTTTTTACCCAGTGATGGCACTGAAGTGCGACATTACATGCCTATACAAATGCAAAAATAACGATATTACTACTCAATGTGAATTTACATCGCCATTGACATAAAAATCACCGAGATTTTCTCGGTCCATTAAAAAAATTCATTTATCTATTTATCTAGCTACTAAAGTTTCTCGCTACCCTTATTTCCACAAAGACTTTGGTAGCTGCCATTCTTGCAAGAAACTACGACAGCAATGGCGTCATATTAATAACCAGAAATTCAACGGACACAAGCTAATTACATCACACGAGACAGTTAATGCCCATCTAGAGAGCAACGTGGACAAGATCTTGCCGGGGTTGTTGAATTCCTTGCATACGTTATATCGTCGTCGTCGACCCTCGTTACGACGCCTTAAACCCCACGCAATTAAGAGAAGACCGACACTGCTAAAATATCGTTCGAAGAACATTCGCACACCACAACCACGACGTGTTCCAGAAGAGAATCAACATCTTAATTTGGCAAGCTCTTCTTTAATTAAGAGACATTTCGTCGGAGTTAATGCCCATCCACAGCGTTATTCTTCAAAATATCTTTCCGTTAATTGAGTATCTCTTTATTCCCCTATAAACACTTTTTATTATTAATTCGCTCATTATGATAGTTTGCTGCGAGTAAAATTAGTAGCTCTCGGAGGTTTACTAATAAAATCGAAAAAATCTGCATTCGATTAGTCCGAGTGAAAAGTAACTTATTACCTTAGAACTACGTCAATATTAATATAAACAATAGTCGTACGTATTTACTTCATGAATTCTGTATTTACTTCGACAATACTGTAATACACGTTTAAGCTTTATTTAAGAATTGGATGATTCGCGCATTGGCCTAAAGTTATGTCTAGAATGTAATCGAAATTACAAAACACATTCAACTTTCTTTTTTTTTCAAACAAACATATTTATAACTGACATTATTATACGATTTTATAGTATTAGAAAATCAATAATAATGTCTTGCGATCGTGTTCTCATACTGTTCTAAAAAGTTGAGAAATTTAACTTTTAATGAACTCGGTATTATAACAAAATTTCCTCGCCTACAAATAAGACAGCCACTTTCTTTAGAACATTAGAACTTCTTAACATTATAAAAGTCTATACATCGAGTTAAATTTACGGAATAAAACTATTTTGCTAAAAAATTAATAAGTATCGATTACTTTGCCCGATTTATACTTCAAATATAATTGTAA